GGAGCATTAAGCCACCTTCTAGTAAGATCAAAGTAATATATTGTCCAAAGGAGCATTTTCTGACCCCCGAGAACACTGGGTCATATTTCAGCGGTTATTGAAGATTGGGAAGGAGCATTAGAATGATCCCCTTGGAGCATTGAGCCGCCTCCCAGCATGATCACAGAGCCATAAAGTAAGAGAACCAGGGGAGCCAGGGGAGGGCGGGGGCGGCCGGCAGCAGTGTTGGCTACCCACCAAACGTTTTCCGATACACTAAGTGATTTAGGACTTTTAAACCACCTCGAGCAGTTAGCTAAACCCACCACCCACCTACCCACCCACCCACCACCACATCCCACTACCCACCCACCCACTCACCACCCACCCACCCACCCACCCACCCACCCACCACCACATCCCACTACCCACCCACCCACCACCACCCACCTACCCACCCACCCACCCACCCACCACCACATCCCACTACCCCACCCACCCACCCCACCACCCACCTACCCACCCACCCACCACCACCCCACCCTACCCACCCCACCCCCACCACCATCCCACTACCCCACCCCACACATCCACCCCCACCCACCCATCCACCCACCTACCCACCCACCCACCCACCACCCACCTACCAACCCACCCACCCACCACCCATTGCCATTACCATTACATTTCCTTAATACTGAGAAGGAAATTGATGTTATAATTAGAGCTATCTTTATTTTCTCCTTTTATGTTATACGTTTGTGCCGCGCCAAGAGGAGAGAGAGGTTAAAACACCTTCCAAAACATAACCAATAGACTCTACCTGTCTCACCTTGATCACCTAATTATTACCTGGTCGTCCTCGGCATCAACATCTCCTAGACTGTCACTCACCTGTAAAAAAAAAAACCTTCCATTATCACCTGTAACCTAATACCTCGATAGAGACTGGGGAAAAAAATCTACTTGCCAATGATTACTTATCTTACTGTCATGTTAGGTTCTGATTGGCTGATTCTGCTGAGTTTTAGGTGAGAGAGAGAGAGAGAGAGAGAGAGAGAGAGAGAGAGAGAGAGAGAGAGACAGACAGACAATCATACACATCTTAATGACAATCAGATATGTATATACACGAGGAAACTCAGAATCTGTAGAATGTCCTCAACCACACCACACTACACCACACCACACTACACCACACCACACTACACCACACCACACCACACCACACTACACCACACTACACCACACCACACAACACACCCAACCCACGAAAGAGAGGTTTGGATGGATATAAACTAAACCAAATTAACCAACTTTGTGCTGTAAGAGTGAATTACGTCACCGCCTTCCTTCCTCTACAACAACACCATCACTTATCAATGTACTTATATACCGTAGATAGATATAAACCGTATATATACCGTAGATAGATATATACCGTAGATAGATATAAACCGTATATATACCGTAGATATAAACCGTATATATACCGTACATAAGGTTGAATTTACGGTAGTTGTGGAGTTGGGTGGGTCGGATTTATTGGAAACGTGTTTAATAATGTACAAATGTTAGAACAGACCAATATTTAAAAGCATTAGTTATATATAATATATCATCTATTAACGAAGAAATGACTTTTAATGTCGTTTGTCATGTTGATGTTACTATTATTGTGTGATCTGCAATAATAATAATAATAATAATAATAATAATATACAATAATAACAATAATAATACTAATAATAATAATAATAATAATAATAATAATAACAACAATAATAATAATAATAATAATAATAATAATAATAATAATATACAATAATAACAATAATAATAATAATAATAACAATAATAACAATAAAAATAATAATAATAATAACAATAATAATAATAATAATAACAATAATAACAACAAAAACAATAATAACAACAACAACAACAACAATAACAATAATAACAACAATAATAACAACAATAACAATAATAAATACGAAAAATATAAAACTATACAAATAATAACTAAAACAATCACACCCAAACAATAACAATACACAATCACTATAATAAGAACAGGGTACATAAACCACAAATAATCCACATTACAAAAACCATTACATAACAAAACCTCGAACATCTGCCGTAATGTAAACAGTTTTAATTTCAGATTCAATAACACGGCACTGAGTAAGGTGGCGACAAGACGTAGTACAGTACAGGGAGATAGGTCGCGTGTCTCTGTGTCTCTCTCTCTCTCTCTCTCTCTCTCTCTCTCTCTCTCTCTCTCTCTCTCTCTCTCCTCTCCCATCGTGTGCCATATTGATCCCATACCGTGTGATGATCCCCCCACACTCTCTTTATTATCTATGGATATTCACTCACTCACTCACTCACTCACTCACTAACTCACACTCTCTATATCACCCATCACCGTCCCATCACTTTCCTGTGCGCCATTTTCCTGCTCATCTTTCCATCGTCCACCACCGCCCCCATCCTCCCCATCACCCACCATCTCCCCATCACAAGTGGTACGTACTGTTCTGAGGGAGGGGGAGGGGAAGAGGAGGAAGAGGAGGCGGAGGAGGAGGAAGAGGAAGAGGAGGAGGAGGAGGAGGAGGAGGAGGAGGAGGAGGAAGAGAGAGAGGTTGAGGATGGTAGGTGTGGCGTCCGGTGAGGTTAAAGGGAGTGTGAGAGTAGCAAGGGAGGGAGAGGGAGAGGGAGAGTACCAGGGTTAGAGGGCCGAGGCTGCTGCTACTACTCTCGCGTCGCCTGCGTGCGGTGTGTGTACCCTCACCCACCCACCCCCACCCCTCCCACCCACCCACCCACCACCCCAAGCACCTCCTACCATTGTACTCTTCTCTCTCTCTCTCTGACTCACTGCTCTCTTTCTTACCCTCAATTGTCCTTTCTCTTCTTCCTCTCTACCTGCTTCTGCCCTCTCTCTCTCTCTCTCTCTCTCTCTCCTCTCTCTCTCTCTCTCTCTCTCTCTCTCTCTCTCTCTCTCTCTCTCCTCTCACACCACTATTGATCTCAAGCACATCATGTTCCTGTCTCAAGCTTAAATAACTATATATTCGTCCACTAGACATAAACAAGATTCATAAACCATCCACAAACATGTCACCATTCACCATATTTATCACCCTACATCACCATCACTCACTACATCACTTCTTTCATCATTAATTTCCTTCATCACACCATCATCACTCATTCCACTTCTAAAGTTGATAAATAATTCAAAAGTTCATCCTGTGTGTGTGTGTGTGTGTGTGTGTGTGTGTGTGTGTGTGTGTGTGTGTGTGTGTGTGTGTGTGCTATTTCCCCGGGATTCACAGTGGACGTCTTGGTCTGGCCAGCACTCATGGGGTGGGAGTGAGCCAGCCTTTGAACCTAACAAATTAAATTAACAGGGTTCAGTGCGGCGGTCCCATTCACCTCCAGATTCTGAAAACCTTTAATGTACAGGTTTGGTGTTGTTGTTGCTGCTGCTACTACTATTACTACTTCACTACTACTACGACTACCACTACTTCTACTACTACTACTACTACTACTTCCCTGACCTGCGTGTGACCTGTGTTTAGTAGCAGCAATCCTGGAGAAATATTTCCTCGTTACTAAGGCAATAACTTCCATCCCTCCTCCTCATCCTTCTTCTATCCTCTTCACTTCCCCTCCTTCCTCTCCCTTTTCTTCCATCCTCTCTTTAATCCCTCCGACCCCCTCTTCCTTCTTCTTCCCCTCTTTCCCTCTCCTCACTTTTCCCTTCGACCACAACCCTTAATCCTCTCACTTCATCCCTCTTCCTCATTCCCCTCCCCTCTTCACCCCTCACCCTCCCTCCTCCTCCTTCTCCTCTTCCCTCACCCATCTCTCTCTTCCCTTTTCCCCTTTCTCACCTCTTCCCCTCACCCCATCTCTCTCTTCCCTTTCTCACCTCCTCTTCCCCTCACCCCATCTCTCTCTTCCCTCTTCCCCCTTTCTCACCTCCTCCCTCTTCCTCTTCTACCCTCAAATTAATGTCTCTCTGTCCTCCCTCTATCCATCTTGACATATATCTTCGTCACCTTCAGTTTACTTCTCATTCTCCATTCCTCCTCCGGTGTAATTTTCCGCTTGAATCGTCTTCGCCTATTCCTTCCCTCCACTTCAATTCCTCTTACCCAGTTCTACTCTCTCTCCCTCTCTCCTCCCCCCCACTACATCTCCTCTACTCCCCACTACATCTCCTCTACTCCCTCCATTACATAACCTCCACTGCCCTCCTTCCCTTTACTCTACCCCTTACGATCACTTCCACTCCTACACACTACCAGAAGGCATTAATTTAAGTTACAATAGATCAAGTTAGGGAAGGTTGGGTAGGTTAACATTAAGGAGTTTAATCATCAGAACAACATAAATATACTTGGGTGCCTAAACTTCTGGCACAGTATATAACCCGTAAATAGCAAGTCGATTCAGAGACAAATTGTAACCCGTAAATAGTAATTCGATTCAACCAAAGACAATTAAGTATGAACCCTGAAGACTTAATACCATTCTGAGTCCTCGAGAGACGATCGATCACTCACGCCGGTGTTTACACGTCATTAGGAAGAGCCATATCTACAATACATATCCAGGTACAGTCCCCTTCACTAGTGCGTTTACAGGGGCTCGTCATATAAACATTCCACAGACCATTACCTTGAGATATTTGTTTTAATAATGTTTGACTCTGATTCCTTACTATATGTTTACTATTGTGAGTTTCCTTCTGTCGAATATAAACAAACACAGGGATACCACACTGCACATAACCTGACGAGCCCCTGTAAACGCACAAGTGAAGGGGACTGTACAGACCAAACCATCCATGCACCGGTGTATCGCCTCTTGAGACGTTCCAATTTCCTGTCGTCTTGAGTTTCCAGGGCAGAGCAATTCTCACTTTCCATTCTACACGTACTTCAATTCTTCAAAGTCAGTAAAATAATTCTGTGTTTCCAATCAACAACTATTCTCAGCTTCCAATCAACAACTATTCTCAGCTTCCAATCAACAACACTCAACTTCCAATCACCAACTATTCTCAGCTTCCAATCAACAACTATTCTCAGCTTCCAATCAACAACTATTCTCAACTTCCAATCAACAACTATTCTCAGCTTCCAATCAACAACTATTCTCAGCTTCCAATCAACAACTATTCTCAGCTTCCAATCAACAACTATTCTCAGCTTCCAATCAACAACTATTCTCAGCTTCCAATCAACAACTATTCTCAGCTTCCAATCAACAACTTTACTCAACTTCCAATCCAGCAACAACGCTCAACTTCAATCAACAACTATTCTCAGCTTCAATCAACAACTATTCTCAGCTCCAATCAACAACTATTCTCAGCTTCAGTCAACAACTATTCTCAGCTGTCAACAACACTCAACTTCAATCAACAACAACACTCAACTTCAATCAATAACAATTCTTAACTTCAATCCTTAACTAATATAAGCTTCCAATCAACAACTATTCTCGGCTTCCCAATCAACAACTATTCTCAACTTCAATCAACAACAACGCTCAACTTTCCAAATCAACAACTAATTTCTCAGCTTCCAATCAACAACACTCAACTTCCAATCAACAACTATTCTCAGCTTCCAATCAACAACTATTCTCAACTTCCAATCAACAACTATTCTCAGCTTCCAATCAACAACTATTCTCAGCTTCCAATCAACAACTATTCTCAGCTTCCAATCAACAACCCAATCACCAGTTATATCTACAATCTGGACAGTCTCTTAATTTCCAGTTCCCTACAGTTTCTACTTTCCAGGAATTACCATAAACTCCCCCCCCCCCTTTCCAGTCTCCCAGGGTCTTCCATTTCCATAGCTAACCGGGTCTGGAAACATCTCCGTTCCCCATGTGGCAGGCAGGGGACTGCTTCACCAGGGTCCTGAGTGAAGGCGGTGGACGAGTCTTTAAAAATTAGCAGGGGTGGCAGCCGTGACGTCACAGAGAGTCAATAAGCAACAACAGGACCAGCCAGCCACCCTCTCTCTCTCTCTCTCTCTCTCTCTCTCTCTCTCTCTCTCCCCACACACACACACACACATACGTACACTGGATAGTTAGTAAAGATAATAAGAAAATAATAAATATTTCCCTAATAATAACATATAAGAATGATATACAATATGCATATAAATAATAATAATAATAATAATAATAATAATAATAATAATAATAATAATAATAATAATAATAAGGAAGATGAAAAGGGAGAAAAGACTATAATAGAAAGAAAGAAAGAAAGACAAAAGTAAATAATAAAAGAAAGAAAAGAAAAAATCTGTCTTTAGAACCAAGAAAAAAAAACTACGGGAACTGTACACTAAAACGAGCCCTTAAAGGTGAGAGTACAATGACTTTGGCCACGTCCAGAGCCCTAATTTGAGCTCCAGTTTGTGTACAAGTAGAGCTCCGACAACTGGCCTCCCCACAGCACCAACTTGAGGCTCCCGTCACACACTACCAGACTTGTTAGTAAGTCTTAAAGCCAAACTTTCTTTACCCAGCCAGGCCTCTTACTCTTTCTTTTATTTTCTCTCTCTCTCTCTCACTGAAAACATGCACTTACAATCTCTCTCTCTCTCTCTCTCTCTACCTCTCTCTCTCTCTCTCTCTCTCTCTCTCTCTCTCTCTCACTGAAAACATGCACTTACAATCTCTCTCTCTCTCTCTCTCTCTCTCTCTCTCACTGAAAACGCATAGAAGTGGATGGAAATGCCAATAATAATTAATAGCGAAACATACAGGTAACACACAAGGTAGGCGCCAGTAATTAACTTCCAGGTGTTGATAAATGCCAATAAAGTATACAGGTGTTAATGACAGTGCCAATAAAGTATACAGACGATAATGATAGTGCCAAAAACAATGTCCAGGCGTTAATGACAGTGCCAATAAACAGTATCCAGGTAACACAGGTGCAGCGCCAATAAGCTCAGTACAGGTGTTGATGACGGAGGTAATGGCTGCCTATCCGATTATGTAGATGAGGGTGGGAAGAGGAGAGGGAGGAAGAGGGGGTGAAGAGAAGAAGGGATGAGGGGGGGTATTAGAGGAGGAGGGAGGAAGAAGATGAGGTCTAGAACGACAGGAGGAGGAGGAGGAGGAGGAGGAGGAGGAGGAGGAGAAGACAAAACAACAACTCTCCTGTAGATTGCTGCTGCCTGGTTCAATATACACATACTGTAATATGTATCCAGGTCACTGACTATAACACGGAAGTAGTTGACCTAAGAGAGGGATATTGTTTACATGACCAGCTGATAGTAACCAACAGAATGAGTGACTGAGACAGTGTTTACCCAATCAGCTGGCGGTAAACAAAACAAAATGAATCGATGAAAGAATACTATGATGTTTACACAGTGAGGTGATCTTACGCAGTGAATTAGTGAGCGAGGTAGAGTGTTTACATAAATCAGCTGATACTCGACAGGTGACCAAGTGTATACACCTGACGAACGCCAACACACACACACACACACACACACACACACACACACACACACACACACACACGATGTAAAAAAAAAAACAATCATGACTAAAGCAGGTAGTGGCGCCAGAGCAGACCCCCGGACAGGTAATTAATCTTGGGGAGGCGTGTGTATTGTTGTGGCACCAATAACAGGTATAATGGGAATGAAAGGGAGGAGAGATGGAGGAGAGGTGGAGAAGAGGAGATGGAGGAGAGGTGGAGAAGGAGTGAGAGGTGGAGGAGGAGGGGAAGATGGAAGAGAGGTGAAGGAGAGGAGAAGAGATGGAGGAGGAGGGGAAGATGGAAGAGAGGTGAAGGAGAGGAGAAGAGATGGAGGAGAAGTGAGGAAGCAGAGGAGATAGAGTCTAAGCAAGGGACAGAAACTCATCAGAACAATATATACGGAGCCTCGGTAAGTTAACGGACCCTAATACGTTACCTTAACACACCCAAGTTAACACTCCCAAATATTTTAACTTCTACATTAAACTTTCCCTAACTCAAGATCTACACCTGGAAGATGAAGAATTAACACACACATACACACACACACACACACACACACACACACACACACACACACACACACGTACGCAATACTGCCTTCGCGTGTCTATATGCGTATGTAACCAAAAACTAGCAGAATACGCAAGATTTGGGTCGAAAAGCGTATCAGAGTACATTTGAAACCAAGGAAAATACGCAAGGTTCCCCGTTTTCATACGCGTATTTAATATTAATTCAGTGGATCAATATGGCGCTGGTATTGGGAGGGTGGGAGTGGGGGTGGGCGGGAATGGAGGGAATGAGGGAGGGAGGGGCGGCAGTGGCGGTGCGGGCGGGTGTCAGCTACCACCTCCACATTATTATTTCATAGACAGAAAAATTGGGCACACTGACTCCCCCTCACCTGGATCGACAGTAGCCAGGTGTGACACAGGTAAAGTTAAGTCGTATCTCTCTCTCTCTCTCTCGTTCCTACCGAGCCTTTACCTCATTCTTTTTATCACCCCAGCTCAATTTTCCCTCTTTTATATCACTGATTTCTCTCTCTCTCTCTCTCTCTCTCTCTCTCTCTCTCTCTCTCTCTCTCTCTCTCTCTCTCTCTCTCTCTGTCGTGTGCTGGCATCACTTGTCAGACTAAATCAACATGCAAAACACCTGCCGTAAAATATTTTGTCAACAACACAAACTTGTGACAACCGAAAACAAATTATTGCCAGTAAACATTAACAATGAACTGACCAACATATCAACCAGGCAAAAAAAAAGAGAAATAGAGAGAGAGAGAGAGAGAGAGAGAGGTCATAAAATACTAGGATTAATGGGGAGGGGACATAAAAGTAAAGCTAGTGAGCGCTGGTCCGCCAGGCTTCCATTGTTGTACTGGCGCGTGATGTCACATATTTCTGAAGTCAATAACAGGAGAGGTTAGGTTAGGTTAGGTCAAGTATCTAAACTTAACTATCCCAGGCAAGTATGAGTTAGATAAGCTTTGGTTGGTATGTCACTCGCTGTCTAGTGGCATGAGACAATTAATTCATGGGTGGTGGTGGTGGGGGGGGGGACCCTGGCGTACACAGCTGGGAGTGATCAACAACAAGAGGCTAGGCCACGCTGGTCCCGCCACCCTCGTGACAGACAACAGACCAGTTTATGAATGGTGACACTCATGAGATCATCCTTTAGTATCAGATAACAACATCCTGAGTTTAGGAAATAAAAATTGCCTCAGTGATGTTGAGTAAACCGGAACCAGGTAAAGCAACTACGCAGTACGCAGGTGCTAACCTTCCACCACCAGTCAGAGCTGTGGTGCTGGACGCTTATGAATTATGCAGCACCAACGGCAACAGGTTCCTGCCCATCATGACGATCACGACCCACACACGCTACCCGAGGGAGGAAGAAGTGGGTGTGGTGGAGGCAGGGAACCATCTTCGCCAGCTGGTAGTGTGGTGGATCGCTCACCTGCAACTGTAGGTGTCACTGACGGGGCAGATGAACCCGACTGTCACAAAGTTGTGTCAAGCGTTATGACAGACAGCGGTGCATGGTGACACCAACCGGGTGAGTTAGTACCCCACACCACCCACCCGACCAGCTGGGAGATGTGCCATTGTCTTTCGTCACCACAGAGGCCGCCTGCAGCTGCAACAATAATCAGCTGAACCCCCCGAGGGCGCCACTGACTCACTCACACACACACACACACACACACACACACACACTGATGGTGATGGGAAAGAAAAAGTAAATGTAAACAGGATTCTTTACAGGCCAACAGATCGAAGTCTTTTCAATGACATTCTTATAATACTAATATACTCCTACATTTCCTTCCGACAAGAAGTCTTAAATAAAATCTTAATATTAAATATATAAATTCCTACAGAACAGAGAAGAAATGTAACTTTAATGAGAGGAAACCGGTTTACTGGTGCCGGTATAAGTCTCTTGGTTTTAAATGGTCACTTCAGGAGTTGGCAAATTACCCCGACACTATTCCTTGCAGAAGGTGTGCGTACAGGAGACGTCAGTAGTGGTCCATTAACCCAACATTCACTGGTGTCATGGCTACTTATGAACCTTTACAGTGACCCCTGGTACAAAAAAAAATCTGTACGGGTATTAGCTAATTGGATTCACTGAGATTTTCGGATGCACTGCCAATTGACCAGTGACCTCTAATGACCTGCAATGACCTCTAATGACCTACAGTGTCGTTAATTTATTCCACCTGAAGACTGACCACACTAACATTAACCTAACCCTCAAGGAAGCCTTTAGGTGGTTAATCTTCAGGTGAAATAAGGTTGACGGGCCAATCTCCAGGTGATCCCATAAAACACAAATAAAATGAACTCTCGTAATTAAACACTCCCGTAGTTGGTGAACGCTCCTGTGGATTGTGAACTCTCCTGGAACTCTGAT